TCCACATTGGTGAGCAGCAGGTCCAGCAGCGCTTCACCTCTGGTCGGTCTGTCCAACACCTGGACCAGAAATTTATCGTCAACACATTCCAGGAGCCTCCTGGACCTCTTGCAACTCGCCGTGTGGTCTATCCAGGAGATATCCGGATGGTTGAAGTCCCCCATCAGGACAAGAGCCCGTGAGCATGAAGCCTCCCGCATCTGAAGCAAGAAAGCCTCATCAACAGTCTCCCCTTGATCAGGTGGCCTATAGTATACTCAATCACTGGTTCAGATTTTACTTGGCATTTCCACTATACTCTACCCCTTCATGGCATGAACCAATGATTGAGCAGGTAAGCCCTTTCCATTATGGTGATCCCATACACTGCAACGCTTTGTACAATTTGCCTGTTGCAGTGTAGGTTGACAAAATATAAGATGACTGATGATTGGTCATGTTCCTTTGTGGGCCGGTACTCGATGGTTCTCCTGTAGGCACATAGTTGCTTGGACCAGGGAAGGTTCAGCTCGCATTCCTTTAGTCCCATATAATCCACTGCTGGGTGTCACACTGATCTTCTTGTGACACTAGAGCATCTTGATGGCATGTTGATCCTCCTGGTGATCCTGTGGATTCAAAGAGACTCATGGGAAGTAGTACAGACATTTCAGAGGTACCAGAAGGGGTAGGTCTGCTCTCCACAGTAAGATACAGACGGTGTTCCTGTCCTGAGTCAACGCTTTGGTTTGCACTGTGGCACGTTCTGGCTGTCTGTACCATACCCTTTGGCCTGATATCTGAGGCTGCATAACTATATAGGGTACCGAAGGAGGTGGATCCTGATTTGCCATAGGCACATGATTAAGGTCCCTTTAGTGATGAAAACCAGAGTATTGATCATTATGTGTTGATGGCTGCCCACAGGACACCTCAAGTCATCAAGAGTGACCAAGGGACTCATTTCACTGGTGCAGTGGTACAATGCTGGGCAGAAGAAAACTATTGAGTGGTGATTCTATCTGCCACATAATTTGATGGGGCCAAGCCTTAGGGAACACTATAACAGTATTCTTTAGGCTGCCCTGAAGACAGACTCTCAGTCCCTGCAGGGGTGGATAAAGAGACTATACAAAACCCTGTGGGACCTGAATGAAAGGCCTAGAGACAGCAGGCACAGTGCCCTGAAGATACTACAAAGATGGGCCTTCCTGCTTGGAATCCAAATTATAGGCACCGATAATCGAGTAAGATCCCAAATTGGCAAAGCCCCCCTTTTTTTTTTTGCCTTTGGCTGCCACATTTGAACATTTGTTTGTCAGTGCTTGGCTGAATATGAACCAGCAGCGCAGCCAAGATGGCCAATGGCATCCTGGCTTTTATCGGAAATGGTGTTGCCAGCAGGAGCAGGTAAGTGATCATCCCTCTGTATTCCTCACTGGTGATGTTGTACATCAAGTACTATGTTCAGCATTGGGCCCCTCACTACAAGAAAGACATGGAGGCCCTGGAGCGTGTTTGGAGAAGGGAAACAAAGCTATTGAGGGGTCTGGAGCACAAGTCTTATGAGGAGCAGCTGAGGGAGCTGGGATTGTTCAGTCTGGAGAAGAGGAGGTTCAGAGGTAACCTTATTGCTCCCTACAATTAACTGAAGGGAGGTTGTAGTGAGGTGAGGGTTGGCCACTTCTCTGATGTAATTAGTAATAGGACTAGTGGGAATGGTCTCAAGATGTTCCAGGGGAGATTCAGATTGAATGTGGAGTGACCATCCCTGGAGGTTTTCAAGAAATGTTTATATGTTGTACTGAGAGATGTGGTTTAGTGGGACCTACTGTTGATAGGTGGATGGTTGGACTGGATGATCTTAGAGGTTTTTTCCACCCTTGATGATTCTATGATGCCATGATATGGAATACTGATAAAACCAGGACAGTGTGTCATTGAGTTCCTCCATGTAGGAAAAAATAGCGTCCACTGCCATTCATAGATGCTTGCTGAACATTTACAGAGACCAAACAGTGGATGTGAGCACAGTGAGGTGGTGGGTGGTGCATTTCAGCAGTAGCAGCAGCAACAGTGTCACTTGTGCTGGTGCAGATTTTGAGGAGTACAGCATGCAGGTTCTTGTTCATTGTTGGTGAAAATGCGTAGCTAGTGGTGGTGATGTCATCCAAAATCCGGGAAGAAAACTCTTTAACTGCATTGTGGTGTTAGAAAAGCAGCATTCCTTTATTCCTTATGATATGTACTGGGTGACTTGACAAACAAGCGTGCCCTGAGAGAGTTAAGATTCAACATTCAAACAGTTAATACATACATATGTAGTACATTGGCGTATGCATATTTTTTTCCAAGAACTCATTAGTATATGCTAATGTCCCTTTGGGCATGCGCGGTAGCTGCCTCAGGTGGTCTTTGACCACTTACTTTCTCCTCATTTTTCCATCATCAGCTTCATCACTGAGTCTTTAGGCTGACCCTTAAATATTTTTCTGTTTGGCAAACTTCCATTGTTCCTTAGCTCATAATGAGCAGCTTTCTATCTTAGTGAACTCTAATACAAAATAATGTATGAGAAATCCAAGGAAGAATTCCTTGCACCTGGTGGATGCAAAGATAAAAGTAGTCTGTTATGACTCCAGTGTTTCTTGTGAAGCAGGATAGTTGAGGGAAACAAGACTGTTCACATACGAAGCAAAGCTGAAATGAAAAGTTTTAGAACTAACACTCATTGATTCCTTTTGCTAAACTAATATATTGGTCTTTAAACTAATATGCTGATCCCTCTTGCTAAACAGAACAGCCTATATCAGTAATTATAATGAAAAATAGTTTCTGAGAATGTGCTCTATTAAATAGTGTTATTGTGCTCTTTGTATCAGTTATAGTTTCCATGGAAATAAATAGGAGGCATTACTTCTGGAGCAATATTCAGAGTTGAGGACCTGGAAAATTCCTCTTCACTCAATGCAGCCCAGACAGCCAAAAAGGTTGGACACCCATGCTTTAGAGGAACCAAGCCTCCTGCCCTTCTTCAAGTCCTTATACAGTAGGCACTATCAGCAGGGCATTTCAGATGCAGTGTGCTTTGGTGTAAACATGCTATGGAGATCAGCAAGTTGTTTTCAACAGTATTTTTGATCAAGTTTTGGTTGGTTTGTTTTGCTGTGTTGTCCCTCACGTGACAGGGAGGGGATTCAGAAGCTGGTGTTTAACCCCAAAGCTGAGTTTTCATGTCAATCTCCCAGGGCAGCAGCAGCGAGGCCTGCCTGATCTACTTTGTGGGAACACTGCCTACCACTACAGAGAAGGGGAAGTGGTGGCTGTCAGGCAAAGTCCCTGGGGACTGGAAAAAGGGAAATATCACTCCCATTTACAAGAACTGGAGGAAGGATGACCTGGGGAATTACAGGCTGGTGAACCTTACCTCTGTGCCTGGGAAGATCCAGGAACAGATCCTCCTGGAAGACATGTTAAGGCAGGGCCTGTCATGGTTTTATGATTTCTGTTATCAGTATTCCACATCATAACATCATGTAGTGCCCTGGGAGTTAAAGTGTTAAAGCTCCAGTTCCAGGTACCTATCCCTATATATTACGGAAGTCATGGGATCTGGCCCTTCCGGGTGGGGCGGTCTCTTACTGCCTGGCAGTGGGTGCTGGAGGGTGCTTTCCTAGCTGTACCAAGCGTTTCAGGTTTGACTCGGTCTCAGGAACTCTCTCTCTCCTATCTTATTTGATTTATCAGTCTCAATTTCAATTAGACTGTATTATATTGTGTTATCTTGCATTCCAATATCATAGTTAGTAAAATAAGTTTTCCTCCATAGATCATTGCTGCTGTTTTTTTTTTTCCTTCCTTGAGCCCAGCTCCCATCTCCCTATCCCTTTTCCCTTTCCCTTCCCATTTTGTGGGGCCGAGGGGGATCCAGGGGCCTACTGTCCCCCTGTCACAGGCATAGATTGATCTAGTTAACTCTGTGACAGGCCCCCAACACAAGAAAGATGTGGAGCTTCTGTAAATGTCCAGAGGAAGGCCACAAAGATGCACCTGGAGCACCTCTCCTATGAAGATAGGCTGAAGGTACTGGGCTTTTTCTGCCTGGAAAAAAGAAGGCTGCAAAGAGACCTTGTCATGGTCTTCCCGTACTTAAAGGGAGTTGGTAAATGTAGGGGAAATCAACTTTTTTACAAGGGTAGACAGTGATAAGACAAGGGAGAATGGTTTTAAACTAAAGGGGGGTTGGAACTTGATGATCCTTGAGGTCCCTTCCAACCCAAGCCATTTTGTGAAGTGGTGCCTTCCTAATCGGCCTCTGGTAATGCTCGGACTGTGGCTTTAGCATGCTAAACCCTCACTGCACTACTTCTTGCTCCCTTCCACACTGCTGCTGGTGGAGTAATCGAGAATGGCAACTTAACAGGGCTAAGGAGCCTTACCATCTCTCGTAGCCCTTCAGAGGAGATACAGCCCTATAAGGAGCCCTTTTTACCCCGCAGTCAGAACGAAAGAAGCAAAAGCAAGTAACAGACGGATGCATCCTCATATAACACTTCCTTTCCTTCCCCCCCTCACGTGGTGCAGGGAAAGGGCGGGGATTCCGCAGTGCGTTACATCCGTTCTTGTAGTGCGGTGTTGCTGTGCGTGGAGGAGAATGTGAGTGTTTAGTGGTGGTCTCTCGTTCTGCTGGGGTCGCTACTATTTTCTCTGGTGCTTGGCCTTAACTATTAATGGCTCGGCGCCTCCCAGCTGTCTTGGGGAAGCGTGCGAGTAGTCGTGTGGTGGGGTTTTCTTCTTTCCTTGAGTGCTTGCTGCCTCCTGTGAGAGGGATGTCCTACTGTAGAGTAGGGCCTGGAGCGGATGGAGGAGCTGCTGCTGAAGAGAAGTTGCCGTGTTAGAGGGTAGAGAGGATTTGAGTGAGGAAATAAACAGTGTCAGGGAATCACCCTGCTCTGTTTTCTTCACGAAGGGATCAGACTGGCAGATGGCTCCTAGCTTTTTTTTTTATTTTTGTTTGTGTGTGTTGTCTCTCTTGTCTTTTGCTGCTGTCGAGTTGCAGCCCCCTTTCTGTCACTGACTTGGGAAGACCTGGGAGGCTTTGCCCGCGCACTCCTGCCTGGGCTTTTGTCTCTTCCTTCAGGAGACAACAAGAGCTGTGGAGAGGAGAGGAGGAAAATGGCGATTGGGAGCCGCCTACCGGCGTTCTTGGCTTGTCTTTTTTCTTTTATTTTTCTCCGTTTTCGTGTGGCTTGTTGTATTCCGCCCTTGCTCCCTATGGTGCTTCGGTGTTTCCTCACGCTCTGCCTTATTAGCCTCTCCTGAAAAAGTTGCCTCTAACCCCCATTACTTTCCTCCGATTACCACTCCTATTGTCTTGCATGTTGTTACTCATTCACTGTAATGGAGACTTCAGGGTTATTTCCTATTTGTGGCCCCTTGGCTCCCATTTATCAGTTTTGTTTGATTCTTCCATCTTACGTTGTTGCTGTGCTTGTTTTTTGCCTTGTCTTGTTCCAGCTCCCCTCTGTCTCTGTCCTGCAGCATGGTTTGTGTGCTTTCCCATATCATGTTTCATTTTCAGTGCTACAGCTTCCAGTGTTGTGCTCCAAGCTATTATGACAGAACTTGCATTGCTTGAAAGCTGCATTGAGCCATTGTCATTGTTCACTGTTTCTTTTCCTTTGTATGTGACTTATTTCACCACCAGCTTGTTTAAAAATGCCGTTATTCATTATCCTTTACTGAGATGTTTCTCTAATCTTTTATTAGCCTTCCCTAGCTTTAGTTTATTATACACTTTTTTTTCTCTGTGATGCTTGCTTTTATTCTGAAAGAACAGATAAGCTATTTATTTGTCACAGCAAGCTTCTAGTAGCAGGCAAAATGTTCAACTACTTTATCTAACCAAATGTTTGCGCAGTGGAGAGAAGATATAGAAGCACACCTAGCAGCATGCTTTCAAGGAAAGTTGAATGTCTGCTTGTCTGGCAAATCAGTGGGTTCTTGTGACTGTGTTAAAGCTACAGTAGAAATATTAATTACTGTACTGTAGTTCATTATGACTAAGTGGTTTGTGGTTTTTTCCAGACTTCTGTGTTACTGATGGGGAGCTTAGCCTCATGTATGATGATTATACAACTTGCTTGCAAATTCAACTAGGTAAAATACTTGTGGAAGAATATAGATAATGCTGTGGTTGGCCTTAGTAGTATATATTTATGAGTGTAGTATTGAAAATTCAAGTTGAGGATAATAGTGTAATGTACTATTTTTTTTTCATCATACTTTCTGCTTTTTTAAATAGTTAAAAACTAAAATATTGTTTTTAGGGCAGTTGCAGCAAAAAAAAAAAAAAAAAGGGAAGAGTTATGAGAGGGAATGGTTTTTGAGATCACATCCATGATGTGTGTTAAAGCTTTTATGAAAATGCTGCGAAGTCTTTAGGAGGGTTTTAATAAGGTGAGACTTCACAAACAGGTTTCAAGATTGTTTTCTGGATGTATTTCTTGTATTGTTCTCATGCTATCTTTTTTGTCCTAGAATGCCTAAATCAAAGGAACTTGTGTCTTCAAGCTCATCTGCAAGTGATTCAGATAGTGAAATTGACAAAAAGGTGAAAATTATATGTAGACTATTATGATAATATTAATTTCCATGTGGCAAAAATGCATCTCGTTCCATATAACTTCAGACACTTGGATGAAGGGGGGGCAAAAACAAGATTAGGGTTTATGCGAAAAAGATGTTTCTTGCTTTGAAGTGAACTTCTTAAAGTTGTGTTTTGTTTAGTATTTACTATGTGGTGTATCTAGCCACAAGCTTCCTGGAATTTTCTTACTTTGTGGTAAGAGATAGGGTTCGGTATTAACTGCCCCTTATGGCAAGAGTTCAGATTAATTTTGAGATGACTTCAACCTCCCCTCAACCTGCCCTTCATTTTGGTGTCTGGATAAATTGCAAGCCCGAAGTCAAAACCACCACTTGCCTTGTCATCTCTGTGCCATGTGCTTATCTTGTTTACATGTTCTTTTTTTCTGTTTCAGATTCCTACTTCTATTGTAATACCACCTGCTAGTTTCTCACTTAAAAGCTGATTCAACCTGAATGTCTGTTAATTAATTTTAACATTTAAACTGTTTTTAAATGTGAAAATTGAATGTTTCCAATTATTTTAATAATTCTTGTGGGTTTTTTTGTGTGGGGGGGATGATTACCATGTAAATCAGATTATTTGCTGTTACTATTTCTACCAGTGTTTAAAAGTTATACCATCTGAATGTTTTAAAAACGTATTTAATCATGCTATGCACAGAGATTGGACCCGGATGATAATAAAGAAAAAAATGTTCTCCTGATGAAGGTGCCTTCCAGATACATTTTTTTAAAAGAGTTTTTAGTGGTCCTATACTTCCTTTGTTGTTGTTGCTTTCAGCAGAAAATAATGCATTCATGCATTTGTTTTGTTCTTGCTCCAAGGTGAAGCGGAAAAAGCAAGCTGTTCCAGAAAAGCCTCTAAAGAAACAAAAGATGGGTGAAAGTTCAAAAGGTGCTGCTGCTGCTTCTAAGCAAAGCAGTAACAGAGACGAGAACATGTTTCAGGTAAAATTGATAACTATTTTAAAGCCTGGCTTAGGTACCATGTTATATTATAGTCCATATAAATCTTGTGCATTTGTTTGAATATCTTGATAGTGTCTAGTCTCCTGAAACCTTGGTGGAAGGGGGGTTACAACAATACTGCTGTGCAGATGAGAAACTTGGGAAAAGCTTTGTCAGGTTTCAGTAGAGTAAAAATCTGAGTTGTGGCAATTGATCTAGCCTTTGTGGTCTTTGCTTATGATAACACTGTGGGTAGTCGTTTTGTCTGTAAATGCAGTACTCATTGTGAATGTATTGTAAATATTAAATCAGGACAATCTCTGCATGGGAATGCTTTTAGATCAGGGCTCTTTCAAGAAAGATTCTCAGAACTTAAGTATGCACTCTTCATGAGTCCTCATTTTTCTTGAACTAGGTCGAGGGCAACTTGGCTCCTGTCTTATAAGACAGTGTCTTGAAATAAGGTTTACTTGCTTCTGTTTTTATGGTGCAGATTGTTCTTGCTGAACATCAAAAAGTGTATTTTTTGACATTGTACTTAGTTTTAATTGGATGAATGTATATTTTTAAGTAACATGATGAGTTTGTGAGTGAATGGTACAGTAGTTCCTGAGGTTAGCTGGGGCAGTAGTAGTGCATTCTACAAGCTGTGCAAGAGATGCAAATAACTTGGGGTTACTTGTTTTAGGTGAGCGAGTCAAGAGTTATTAAATGTCTGCAACTAGTTGGCTTGGTAAGTGACAGGAACAGGAAAAAATTAAGAATCAGTCTCTTAAGAATTTAAGTTTGTGAAAGTATATGGGAGGGATATCTAATAAGGTGATCCCAATGATGGGTAAGGAAAAAGAAATGGCTTTGGACTGTATCTTTGCAAAGGAATAAGGCTGAAAAAAAGCAAACCATCCTCAAGAGAGACAGACCACCTGTGTAACTGGTTATGTAATACAGGGCAGTTACTCCTAATGTGTTAGTCCTTGCTTTCTTCTTCGTGTATAGTTGGGAGGGAGAGCTTCAACTGAAGATGCTGTGTTAATGCCTGGACTTGGTCATCAGCTTGACCTGAACCATCAGTGTTTTTTGGTCTCTGCCTACCTTCTAGTTACTCAACAGCAAATATTTTTAGGTTGCTTATTCTGTTAGGTGAATCACTGTTGGTTTTTATGCTACGTCAGTTTATGTGCTTTAACTAAAATGCAGCTGTTTCAGTGTAAAAATAGCATTGTGAGTCTATTGTTACTTCCTCTCTTTTCCTTCTAACTGAGAGAGAGCATGTTAGAAGCTCTAGTTGCATTTCAAATTTTTAGGTATGGTTTTGCTTATTCTAGGACTACTAATAATAGTTGAAACTCCTTTTTGCTTTCTTGGGGCAGTAAAATTCTCTGTGCAAGTGACTTACAGATGTGACTTAAACTGATGGGAATTAAGCTATGAAGCATTCACAGGATAGTCAGAAGTTATGTGATGCCCATGTTGTGTGGGGGAGTGGCAGCAAATGATGTGTAACTTACTGATTTAATGTTCTAAACCTTCAGCTATATGCATCTGAAACACACTTCCTTTAATGTAGAGCTCACTGTGACCACTGTATTCAGAAGATTCAGCACTTTTGTCAATATTTAGGTTTTATTGTTGTTTAAAACTAATGTTAGTATAATGTTATTCTTGAAAGTAATGAATAGAGTTATAAGTAGTAGGAAACTGTTTCAGTATGAAACAGTATTTTTTTGTCTTGTACTTCAGAATTTGATAAAGGCATTTGGACATGATTGGGGTGCAGAAATTTCTCACTGCAATTTGTGGTGTATTGCTAGAGAATCTAAGGACAAGCATTATCCGCATTAATGTGAAAGGGTTTATTATTCATGTATTAGATTGCTGTCTGTGACTTCAAGCCTGTGTAAGCTCTACATCATGTGCTTTAGTTTGAAAAATCCTGTTATTTACCCATGCCTAATTTGGATAAGGTTTGTTAATGCTGTCTGGATACAATATTGATGACTGTCAAGAATAGAGCCACATAACAAAAGGCATTTCACAGAAATTGCTGCTTTAATTTATATGAAAAGAACTTGCTTCCTTCTTTTTTATTGAAAGTGAAGTTGTATTTGCTTTTTGACTTGTGAGAAGTTCTTCAGTATTATAGTGCAATGTCTTATCATAGGTTCCTGAAAATAGTTAAATATGTTTGTGATGCTCTGTAAAGTTGTTGAACTGTGAAATAATGAATAGGATTGCGTTGGTAGCTACTTAAGCTTCAGAATTAGTGTTCTGAACTGACATGATGCACTGTAGAGCTCAGCTATTTTACAGGACAGTATGCACTAGGAGGTTGTATTATTTTACTGTGCTCCTTTCAATGCTAAATAGTTACCAGCTAAGAAGGCTGCTTTTCTTTTTTTTTCAGTATGTATACCTTTCAAAGGAAATTGGCAATTGGAAGGAAAATGTAGATGAAAGCTTCTTGATGAAACTCATACAGGAAGCTAGCTGTGTAGCTGTGAAAGGAACCTAGACACAGTTAATTTTTATTCTATGAAATGGAAACCTGGAAATATTCTTTTGATCTACGTAATGTAGCAGAATGGTATATCTAAACAGCTGTTATATTTAATAAACATATGAAGTTGTATATGAAAATTGAACAGCATTAACTATCCTACCATAAATAAAGCAATACAACCCTTGTAACACTACTGTGATTAAGAAGGTGCTTTAGCCTGGTGAAGTTATTCTAGTACTGTCAGTTGCTGTGAGGAAGAAAAGCTGTTTAGAAATGACTCAATGCCAGAATTGCAGATATCTGAATCTTCAATTTATTTGGGTAAATCTATATATTTTTTTTTAAACTTTAGTTGCTAATTAGAACTGTAGTTCAGAAACCAGTGTTAAAGCTTTTAGCAGTGATAACTGTTTTGCATAGAGTTCAACTAAACATCCTAAACTTCATGCAAGCATTCAGGTGAAATGTAGACAGAGGCATAAAACTTAATGTCAGCATTTTCATATGGAACCCTTTCCAGTTAAGGTACTGGCTAAATGTGTACTTCATATTCTTCCCCCTGCCTTACTGTAGTTAAGGTATGTAGTCTCATTATTAATATTTGAATCCTAAACCTTTTTTTTGTATTTGCATCTCTAATCTGCTATATTGTATCAGATTTTTTTTTTTTTTTTTTTGTAGAGTAAACCTGGAATTACTTGGCAATGCACTTAGTCTTTGATAGATGTTCTAGAGTGCTACTACTTGAAAGAAATCTAAAAGTTGCTTCAAGTCTGTGAAGTTATATTGTAAAAACAAGAAATGTTGTTTATGCATTTAGGATATCCTTTGCCAGTAGTGCTGACGTTTGGCCAATCCTACAGACTATGCCAAGCTAAGTCTGAAAGAACTCAGATACTCTGACATCGTGCCTTATTTTTGAGTGTTGTATTTCTTGTGCTGTGGAAGTATTTAATAAATCAATCACAAGATATCTTAAACTGTAGTTTCTTGTTCATTTTAAAGGATCCTTTGAAGTAAGGAAAACAAATGCTTCAGGCTTACAGTATCTAAAGTTGTCTCAATTTTATTAAAGTTATTTTTTGACTTAATTTAATGTGGTCTGCATAAGAAGAAAAATGGCTTTTACTAAACAGAAAGCGTACTTGTTTATATCTATTTTTCTGAAGTAACAGCTTATGACTTAAATATCTGTGGATGATTTTAGTTGAATTGGGAATTTTTGTTTTCTGGACAGATGCACTGGCAATTTAGCAGGGGATCTTACTAGTGTTACAAGATGTATAAAGAAATTTAAACAAGCAAAATACTAGTTTGTGCATTTTGATTACCTAACTTCTGGTTCTCAAATTTACATTATACTTGTAATTCATGTAAACAAATACTTTATCAAATGTGGGAAAATCTTAGAGTCTAAATATGTAGGGCAATCCATAGTGCAAGACAATGTGCTGTGCTTTTTACCTGCTCCCTGCTCTCTTAAAAAAAAAAAAAAAAAAAAAATGCCTAATTCAGTTATGCTGTTGTGGTACAGAAACTCTGAAATTCCAAGAGTATTATTTGTCAACAAAGACAATTTCATGCCTTGGTACATGGGAGTAAACATTAAAGGTTAAGATTTTTTTTTTTGTTGTTATAATAGAGGCAAAAAAAAAATCCTAAACCCAACATGCTTTTAAAAGAATGCAACTTAGGTCAATAAGTATTTTTACTCTAGGAGGGCCGGATTGGCATGACAAAAAGTACTGAATGCATTAGTGGTTTTAAGTCCTTAATCCATTTATATTGTCATTATCTATTAGCCTACTCACTTCTAAGAATTAAGCACTTGATTTAATTGTTTCTCTGGTGTCTAAAATAAGCTGCAGTGGGCAATGTCACGTGTTTGAGTCTAATACTGTTTGGAGAAGTAAATGCTGTAATACATAAAATACCTAAAAGATCCTTGTATTTGTTTTGGCAGATCGGCAAAATGAGATATGTCAGTGTTCGTGACTTTAAAGGGAAAGTTTTAATTGATATTAGAGAATATTGGATGGATCAAGAAGGTGAAATGAAGCCTGGCAGGAAAGGTATTACTTTGCTTCATGTTATTTTCTATTAAAACATAGCCTGCAATTTACTTGGAGAATTGTGTATCAGATTTTTATATTCAGAGTAACACTTATTTTAACAAATGATTAGTTTTACTTGTAGATTAGAAACAAAAGCAAAGATTTTGTTTGCCCGAGTCCACTTTCCTAAATGAATAGTGCATAATATATGGAAACAAGGCACTGGATAGAAACAAATTCATTGTGGGAGCCATAACTCCTCTCAGCTCACAGAATCATAGAATGGTTTGGGTTGGAAGATACCCTTCAGGTTATCTAGTTCCAACTCCCCTACTATAGGTAGGGATGCCTCCCTTTAGACCAAGTTATTCACAGACCCATCCAGCCTGGCTTTGAATGCTTACAGGGAGAGGACATTGACAACCTCTCTGGGTAACCTGTTCCAGTGTCTTACCATCCTCACAGTAAAGAATTTCTTCCTAATATTTAGTCTAAATCTACCTTCTTCCAGTTTAAAACCATTTCCTCTCATCCTGTTGCTACATGCCCTTCTAAAAAGTCCCTCCCTAGCTTTCTTGTAGGCTCCCTTCAGGTACTGGAAGAAGGCCACTATAAGGTTTCCTTAGAGCCTTCTCTTCTCCAGGCTGAAGAGCCCCAGCTCTCTCAGCCTGTCTTTGTAGGGGAGGTGCTCCAGCCTCCTGATCATCTTCGTGGCCCTTCTCTGGACCTGCTCTAACAACTGCATGTCCTTCTTGTGTTGGGGGCTCCAGAACTGGACACAGTACTCCAGGTGGGGTCTCATGAGAGCAGAGTAGAGGGGCAGAATCACCTCCCTCACCCTGCTAGTCACACTTCTCCTGATGCAATCCAGGATAGGGTTGTCCTTCTGGGCTGCAAGCATGCATTGCCAGCTCATGTTGAATCTCTCATCAATCAATGCTCCCAAGTCCTTCCCCTCAGGGCTGCTCTCAAACCATTCTCTGTCCAGCCTTTATCTGTGCTTCAGATTGCCCCAACCCAAATGCAGGACCTTGCACTTGGCCTTGTTGCTCTTCATGAGGTTGGCATGGGCCCATCTCTCAAGCCTGTCCAGGTCCCTCTGGATGGCATCCCTTCCCTCTAGCATGTTAACTGCACTGCTCAGCTTGGTGTCATCTGCAAACTTGGTGAGGGTGTACTTGATCACACTGTCCATGTCACCTACAAAGATGTTAAATAACACTGCTTCCAACACCGATCCCTGAGGAATGCCACTCGTCACTGGCCCGCACTTGGACACTGAGCCACTGACTGCAACTCTTTGAGTGCAACCATTCTGCCAATTCCTTCTCCAGCTAGTGGTTCATCCATCAGATCAATTTTTCTCCATTTTGGCAACCTTGATGTTATGCAGGACAGTGTCAAATGCTTTGCAGAAGTCTAGATAGATGATGTCAGTTGCTCTTCTTTTATCTACTGATGCTGTATCTCCATCATAAAAGGCCACCAGGTTTGTCAGGCATGACTTGCCCTTGGTGAAGCCATGCTGGTCACCACCAATCACCTCATATCTATTTTCTATGTGCCTTAGTAGTGCCTTCAGGAGGATCTGCTCCATGATCTTGCCAGGCACAGATGTGAAACTGACTGGCCTGTAGTTCCCAGGATCTTTTTTTTCCCCTTCTTGAAAATGGGGGTTATGTTTCCCCATTTCTAATCAGTGGGCATCTTCACCAGACTGCTATGACCTTTCCCCTGCATGTGGCAGGGGGGTTGGAAATTCATGATCCTTGAGGTCCCTTCCAACCCTGGCAATTCTGTGATTCTGTGATTCTGTGATTCAAATATGATAGATTGCAGCTTAGCAACTTCATCCATCAGTTTCCTCAGAACCTGTGGATGGTTCTCATTGGGTCCCATGGACTTGTGCACCTTCAGGTTCTTTAGATGGTCTTGACCCTCATCTTCACTTACAGCAGGCAGATCTACCTTCT